CTAATGGACACTATATTGATTTTTATTTAGTTTGTATATCAGTAATTTAAGTGCAGATTTAAGTAGGGTCTATGCTATTAAAGTGGCACTAAACTCGGGAATTAAACCTTAAAAATGCATTCAAGCACCTTTAACTATTAACAAAAATGTATCTTGAGTGTATGTAAGTGCATCATTTAGCTGTAGATCCTTGAATCATAGTTATAGTATTTGAGGTTGAATAAAGACATATGTCCATCAAGTTCAACCTATTGTGTGCATGTGTATGGTCCTACTGATGTGTGCATGTCCCTGTGTGATCTCATTCTTAAGAGTGGCAGCGAGTTCCAGACCCTCAGTGATCTAACTGAGAAGAATAATCGCTGAATTTGTGCCGATATTGTCCTTCCTTCTGGAGGGTGGCTACTTTTGTTCCCCATGGTCCCTGTGTGTGTTGTAAAGTATCCACTGCTCCAAACTCACTCCTGTGATGGACTACAAATTGATTGTAAGGGGTTAATTTTTTTAATAATAGTATAAAAATATTTTTAAATATATATACCGTATTTTTCGTTGCACTTGGTAATCGCATTATGTACTGTATGTTTAAAACAATCCCACTTCTCGTCAGTGTTCAGTGTGAGAAATAAGCTGCCCCATTTGGTGTTGCATACTAGCTGATGCAGCTTGTCAAAGTTTGCCTTTCTGAAGTTTAGTGTTCTTGTCTGACCCACACACTTCTCTTTTCTGTACCCAATATTAAAAGTAATCACATTGTGATCACTATTACCCAGTGTCTCCCTAATCGCTATGTCTGCAACTAACTCCGCATTATTGGAAATTATTAAATCAAGTATTGCATTTTTCCTAGTTGGAACCTCAACCATTAGATCCATAAAATTGTCCCGCAGCAGGTTGAGAAACCGGCCCGCCTTTATCAAATGAGAGGTTCCATTAGACCAATTAATGTCCAGATAATTAAAGGAAGTTAATGTGTTAACTATCTGCAGTTTCTATTTAAGAAAAAAAAAATCTTACGCTTGCAGGGTTGTTTTAACTGACATAGTGTCTTTGATCTGCACATAAAGGCGCTAGTCTAAATATTTAGAGTTATAAATACTTTGTAACCATATAATTGTTACACATACTTTAATTTATTCAGGAGCCTGTAACACAGACCAATACCCAGCCCATCCTGGGGGAGTGCAGTTTAGGATCTACCTGGTATGGCCAATATCCACAACTGGATAAGGCGAGAGAAACTAGCATAGTCATTTTGACTCTACGTAAGCATTTAGCCCAGTGCTTGATTTAAGAATATATATCCAACAACTGCTAATCAGTGGTGTAGCATAGCAGATTTTCTGAAGAAAATGAACAAGAGCAGGGATAAATCATTGATATGCTTAGAGTGTGGGCACACAGACATGTGTAGATGTCCACACACATAGTGATCACAATCCCTAAACCCATCTAGCTAATTGTATACTGACATTTATTACATATGGCGCAGTCCTAAGTTGCCATGCATTTTGGATATCCAAATAAGACTGCTTTTTGCCTTCTGTTGCTGTAACATGCATTAAGAAATGCACAGGACAACACTATTTTAAACACAAGTATGTAGAATCTCTATTGCTCTCTGATGCCTGAATTCCTGTGCATGTGCCCCAAGATGTGGGCAGTGAGGTACCACATACATACTGTTATTTGAAGCTTTTTAGATATTTAGTTTCCTTTAATGAAAGCCATACACACAATATGCAATTTTATTCATACATGGTATGCTTACTTTAAAATGCTTTCAGCAGTTGCATAAACCCCAAATCATTTAGCTGGCATGCACTGGGATTCTGGAGCATATATTCAATAGCACCAACTGCTTGTACATGCACAATCCATGTGCCAGCATACTTTAATGTCTTTTGTAAATCATCCTAAATGTGTAGCTTGACCAAAACTGATTAATACAACCAGCTGTGTAAAGAGAATAAAAGTCAAGGTCACCATAGAAATGCTGGTTTAAACTTTATTGCTAGGTTTACATCTGCGTGCTGTAGTAACACACACAAGTTTTTCTTGCGTTAAGGCAGCCCATTCATTTGAATGGACTGCTTACTGCACCAAATCACACCAAAACAGTATTATTTTTCTTTTTCTTAATGCACCACTTTACAACACTTGACAGTGCATTGCCAGGCATTGTGGTGCACTGCAACACACGTGTGTTTGCAAGCTGTGTTTTGGGTACCTTTAGGAACGAATGGCACTATCCAAGCTCTTCTGCAGAAGCATGAACAACCTGTCGAAGACTGACAACACAGATGGAGTTGGACAAAGAAAAAACTAAAATAAATTTGACCTGCACTATTATATTCCCTTTTAACCTAATACTGGTGAGTGCTAATAGCAAAGGTAAAAATACAGAAAACTTTGCTGCTCTGTGTTCTCTCCAAACTAACTAACTTGTCTAAGCATTAGACAAAAATTTGACTTAAAAATTTGCTTTTGTTAATATCACTAGCCATGTAGTTCAATGTGTCTGAGTGTTGAGAAGCTTTCTTAATTAGAAATGTTTTTGTGTCCCTGAGCATCATTTGTAATTAATTGCAATAGTACCCCATCATTCATTTCAGGTATGCTATTGTATAACGGGGTGACCAAAAACGAAATCAATCTCATTGTTCTATTGCTGGTTCTGCAAAAACTCCCTTGTGCCTTTGGTTGCATGCTGGATAACTACAGAGTACCCAACATATTACTGTTACATGCCAGCAGTTGCTGGAATATTAATTGGAAGCAGCTTAATTAAACTGGGCTTTGCTGCCAGTCTCAGAAAATTGATTGAGACCAATAAATCTGTAATGAAAATGATTTAGTAGTTTTCATGTGGATGGTGACAGCCTATGAATACAATGCACTGCACTGTGTCAGACTGCTAAACAGCTTAAAATAGCTGATACTGTTGACGAGGGGTAACTTGTAACTGTTTTGATTTCCTCTCTGAAGGGCAAAGTGGTATCTTCTCAGACAGCAGCAATCCTATTTGCATTTAGTTGTTATGCGGGATGTGGCTAAGATTACCCATTGTCGCGAGTTGCCACAGCAAGCAAGAGAATAAACCCCCTTGAAGATTATGGTTCATTAAAACGGGAAGAAGATTAATATTTTCCCTGTCAAGATCAATACAGCTTCTCCTGCACTAATTGTCAGAAAAGCTTGCGGAGGCTACTGAAGGATGGCAGTGTGTGAGCACAGTAGATCACAGGGACAGTATTCAAAGGAAGGCTGTCCTGCACCCTCTGGTATCGACTTGCAAATTAGCAGCTGGATTCTAATTAAACAAGTTTAATGAAAGGAGCATTTGAATACTGCTGAAGAATTTTAAAAAAAGACAATCCTTTTTCTGCAGTCTGTCCTGTACAACAGACCCAGGGAGATGGCAAGTGCAGTGTGTGATATGTACATATGTATTCTTAGCTCTGGCATATTTGAAAGGTTCTGTGGACAATGCTTGTATTATAGTATACATCACTAATAAAATGTTGAAGGACTTTGATTCCTATTGTCTGTGAACCCTTTCACTTCCAAAGGGTTTTGCATCACCATTCTACAGTATACCCACAGTCCATTATGTATCTACCATTAAAGCTATCGGCAGTCCTGTAATAATTGCTTATCATATCGGCCATTTTGTTGCTATCGCTGGCCATTATTCTTGCTTAATGTTACCAATTATGTCACCAATGAACCAGTCATCCCATAAAGACCTCCTGCCGTGCTCATGCATCATGCACAAACCCTGGTAGTCCTAAACCTGCAGATAGTACTGCTTTTGGATCCATGGTAACCAGTGATTTTGATATTTAGTCATGAGATTTGTGCTTTAGGCATGTTATCTCTCCTGAAGGATGTAAACCCTGCATAACGATAACCTTACTTTTGAAGTGAATTTGTCTTTTATATGTTTCCACCTCCCTGGGTGGCAGCCACCTACCTAAAATACATAGCATTAGCCTAGCTACTGATTTCTTCACTGTGCAGTCCTGCAAAGCATTTGCAAAAATAGGTTTGTCATGTTTAGTTCCTACTGCCAGCACATGCAGCTCGGCCCATTCAATCCTATGGCTGGAGCTGTATGCTTGCAATGAATATGAACCACATTTCCCAGCACATAGTGCTATACTCTACAGTTTGACTTAAGATGTGTATAGACAGCCATAGGATGTACCTTTTGACATGTATGCACATTAAGAGCTGAAAACAGCTAGAACATCTTTCCACAAACTCTATTTGGCATTGGGCAGGGAGACACAGTAATGCAACATTTAGGAGTGGGGCTGACGATGTGTAAATTGCTCTGTGGTGGGGAAACATTTAAAGGACAATCTCAATAAATGTGAGTTTCCTTATGTTTTGATGCCAGGCCAGCATAGTATCTGGGAAGAGCAGTTTTTAAAATGAAGGTAGTAAAAGGGGCTGTTTACTCAGAATCCCCATGCAGTCTGGTAGAGTGGGAAGTCATTCTAGTATCCAATATATCACATTAAGTGTGTTCGGGAATATCTTGTATTGATTACAAATAGGTGAGTAAAAAGAGTTCCCAGATCAACAAATTGCTAACGAAAGGGAGTAAAGCAGCCTAGTCACTACATTCATGTCTAGACAAACAATTCTAGCCTTGCATGCATTTTGTAGCTTAAAGTCTTTGGATAAGACCTGTTTTTTCTTCTAAATGCAGCTTATCTTTTACTTTTCCTGTTTGTGTCCTCCAATTACAGATCTGCTTCCATTTTCTGTAATCCTTACGGTAAATCATCTTTCAGAGGCTTGTCAACTCTGCACTTCCTGTCAAGGGGACTGGACACCTCTGCCTGCTCTATGTGCAGCAGGGTGACCAGTTCATTCATCGCCCACCTGTAGTTTTAGGCAGACAGCACAGACGTCAGTGCTGACTGCAGTAGAAGGATGCGGTGCCACTCTGCTTTGCCCAGCCTCAGTTCTCACCAATCAAGCCTAGGATGTGTGCTGATGCAGTGTGGAAGAGGTAGCGATGTGACCAGTGACAAAGGAACAGAGAACTCCCCTGTACTTGCATCGCTGTATGCGATCGCTGTATGCAGTTGAGCCACTCCCTTGTGTACATTCCTGCCGTAGATTAGTACACATTGGCAAGCATGGAAGTTCTCTTCTGTTACTACCTTTTTCTACCCATGTGCACCTCTATTCTGCTTTTGGTCTGGACTTTTTATTATTTTTTTTTTTTTTTTAAAGGCCCAATTAGAGATCAAATTTAAAGGGTAGGGACGGCAGATTTACAGACACAAATCAATGAGCGTGGTAATCCCAATGAATATGACATATACTGCTGTTACAGGATATCGCTGCGGTTTAGGATCATTACCCTTACAGAGGCTCATACATCACCGCTAAAGCCAGGGCAGGTTTTAACCATGTACCAGGCGACAGCTTGTTCTACATGCATTGGGCGATGAGAGTATATAATAGGTGGTGTTATTTATTCTATCCATGACCGAGGGAGAGTTTGGGGAATTTTAAGTGCGCATCCAACAAAATTTATATCAACAAACCACACTTAACTACTTAACTGCCAGAGGATCATCACATAGCTACGGTTACAGATGTCTGTAGGTTTAAATGTGAAGCTGAACCATTCACAAAGTACAGGCTTTTCAATAATTTAGTTTGGCTGCTGACCCATAACTGGAAACTGGGAGCTTAATTTCCTTTCCTGGACAGCAGCCCCCTTTGGGCCTGACGGAATAAAAACAACTAGAAAAAAAGTGCTCTTAGCTTCTAGGTCTGTATATCCCTCTCAATTCACAAATTTATGCTTTTGATAGTAGAGTCCTACTGTACAAGCTTATTTTTTTGTTGGGTATATCTGAAAAAAATGATTTTGGCCACAGCAAACGGCTTTTCACATTCGATCCTGCCTAACCTCCACTGAAAGCATAAAAGGTGGACATTAATTGGTTGCTGAGAGCATTGCAGCACTTTAAGACATGCTTACACATAAGACTTGTAGAGAATTTAGGCAGATATTGTAGTCCAGTGGGTTTTTGAAATGGGCAGCTCTCAACGAACAAGGACTGCTGTTTGAGATGGCAACATTCAAAACCATTGTGTGATAGCCATTCTAAAGTTTATTTACACCACATTTTTTCAGTCACTTTTTTATGCATCCTCTCTTTTATAAACATGGTGGTGTACTCATTTGTATAAAGATATAGACTAAAGTTGGGTATACACGGTAAGAATTTCAACCAGTTTCTAATGAACCGGACGAAATTAGCACAGTGAGTGCCACTGTCGGCACCCTTCCATCCAATATGCCTCGATCAGCAAATCGAAGGAGCAGGTTGGAAAATTCTCGGATGAATGGTGCTTGCAAGCTCTGTTAGGATATTCTGACATCAACAAACAGCCGCTGTCAGAATACAAGAGAAACAGAGGGGATTCTTCGATCAACGCTCATAAGCATTTATGGAGGAATCTGTTATATTTTCTTCATTCAGCCCGCAGGTTGAACAAAGAAAAAGTGTGTGTATACCCGACTTTAAAAATGTGGGTTTGAAAATGTGCCATTAGAAAAGCTTTTTATGGAATGTAATAAAGAAAAAAAAGTTACGATACTGTTAAATCAGTGAAAGCATCCACAACACAACAAGCCTCAATATGGTTTGTGGAGTCTGAATATTTTTAACATTCAGTAACAAAGTGGTATGTTTTGCAGGCTCTGGGTCCCTTGCTGCAATGGCTGTGTTTGAAGACCGCTACAGACCAGATTTAGAGGTATGTGACCTAATGTGTGTTTGGTTGTTATGCAGCTGTCTATTTTTCTTGTCCTGTGTCTAGAATCAATATATCCCATTGACTCAAACCTTAATCAATACCTGCCCCTTAATCTTCCTTACTTGATTGACTTGAAATATAGCAGTTGTTCCAGAGTGGCTTCTCTTGTGGATCTCTAGTACAAGGCTACACAAACCTACAAGTCTCAAAACCATTACATGTCTCAGGGGAGTCAGTTTGTTACACAGTGTTGACTCTGTTTTCCTGTTGGGAAGAAGGTAGTAAGGGTGCCTAGTGTGGACAATTTTACTTACTTTGGAGCCCCTTAACTTAGATCTATCATCACTTCATTCAGTATGAGGTGTTCCAGCCCTTCGCCTGACTTAAATAATATATCCTCTAACAAGCAGACGTGCTTGAGCAGTAAGAATAATGGTACATTGCAGTTCTATATCTAAACCCGAAGTGCACAGGTAATCGTTTATACACAGTGTGATCTATTAATTTTTTTCCCTTTTCATAGACAAAGACATAAGGCAAAACTATTTATCTAGCACATGCAGATAAAAATGTTACAAAATAAAGTGTTTTGGCAGTGCGACGATGAAGTCCTGTAATTCTGGTTTTGAAGCAGATAAATTCTTGGACTTACTGGTTAGTTAAATGAATAATAGGGCAGGTTCGATAAGGCAGCAGAGGATGTAAATATCACATATGTGCCTCAGCAAGGTCCTATCTCCTATTGACCACATAAATTAGCAGTCTTGTGAGCAATTGTTACTGCTCAGGTAAGTTGCATCACGGAGACAAGCTGTCACACATACTAAGAGTAGTCAATACAGATCAATATCTTAATGCCTTCAGTGTAAATGTTGCAAGGAGACTGAGCCGTATTGGGCAGAAGATTGGCCGTTCATTTCTGAAGCCTGTGCTGAGCATACTGTTTTTCTGTACCATGTTCTTAAATATTTCACTTGTACAGCACACTGACCAGCTCTTTAAACAAGTGTGCCGCACATAAGTAAGTTGCTGCTTTACCTGTCTGCAGTGAGATCTTGCCTAGAGATGCTTGGATCTATGGTATTGAATTGCAGGACGACATAGTGCACAGCTCAGGGAATTACCTGAATTGGGGGGAAAAAGGGGTCATATACTGGTTGTAGTGATCCTATGTAGGTGTAAGGATATTGTTAATGCTAGCAAGCAGAATAATGCATCTCAAGAAGTGCTATTTTTGCACATATTCTTTGGAATAATATCAATATTACAGATATTGTATTAGGTGTAGTGCTGTTTCTAATCACAATTTAAAAAAAAAAAGTGTTTTAGAAACCATAAATATGCTTTCAAAAAACATAAATGAAACAGTATAATGCTTAAAGTGTAAACCTTACTCAGAATCTGCTTTAACCCCTTCATGACCGAGGCCTTTTTTTGTTTTGTTTACATGTTGTAATTCACATTTTAGGCCTGAAAATTACTTCTAACCCTCAACCATTATATATTTTTTGTAAGAAAAGACCCTACAGAATTAAAAGGGGGCAGTTGCAAAGTTTAATGTTACACGATATTAGCGCAACTCCTTATCAAACCCCAAAATGTTGTGAAAAATGCACTTAAATGCCCCATAACACAATAAAATACCAATTTAAAAAAAAAAATATATAAAAGATGAGGTTGCAACTCAGTAAATAAGTAAATATACCCAACATGCCCAGTTTAAAAATTGTGTGCGTCCGTGAAACTGTGACAAAAGTCAGTAACCCTAAAAGTCCATAGACGACGCTTTAAAAGCCCCCATATGTCATCAGTTTAGTGATACGCATAAAAACTGACCCTAGAATTATTGCTTTCACTCCAAACGGTTTATTATTTTTACATTTATTTCATTTAATTTTAAAAACGTATTTAAAAAAAAAAAAATTAAACTTTAATTGCTATCACGTAGGGGAGCTTAAAAGACCCCCATGTGATAGCATATTGGTGGAGACAGGTAGATACTGGGGGTCCAAAAAACCCCTAGTATCACCTTTACATTTGAAATAAGCTATTGAAGTGATATAATCTGCATCGCTCCCGGTCCCATAGTACGGAGAGGAGCTCAGTGAACGGAGGTTCACCGATCTCCTCCCCAGCTTCCCCCCGACACCAGAGAAGCCGGTCCCTGGACCATAGGAGGGATTTGCGGAGCCCGGGAAACACAGCGGGGGGTGCCCCGTTTACCGGGGCCCGTAGAAGCTGAGCCACCAGAATCACTTCTACTGTAAAGCTGCCGGGAGTCTGTTAAACGGGCCCGATGCCAGTGACGTACACTGTACGTTACTGGTCATGAAGGGGGTTAAGGCTCCATTCACACATAGCATTTGCGAAAACGCGCAAATTTTAACATACACATGTATTCTGCACGTTTGCGGCTACTACTATTGCTGGAGAGCGTAGAATCAGTGCAGAATATAGAGCTTGGACTTTTTTGTGGAATGCACGTTTTTGTACCGCAGATTGAAATTAAGACTAAGAAGCAATCATGTTATTTGAAGTGGTTTATTTGGCCCCTAATGGACACTATATTGATTTTTATTTAGTTTGTATATCAGTAATTTAAGTGCAGATTTAAGTAGGGTCTATGCTATTAAAGTGGCACTAAACTCGGGAATTAAACCTTAAAAATGCATTCAAGCACCTTTAACTATTAACAAAAATGTATCTTGAGTGTATGTAAGTGCATCATTTAGCTGTAGATCCTTGAATCATAGTTATAGTATTTGAGGTTGAATAAAGACATATGTCCATCAAGTTTAACCTATTGTGTGCATGTGTATGGTCCTACTGATGTGTGCATGTCCCTGTGTGATCTCATTCTTAAGAGTGGCAGCGAGTTCCAGACCCTCAGTGATCTAACTGAGAAGAATAATCGCTGAATTTGTGCCGATATTGTCCTTCCTTCTGGAGGGTGGCTACTTTTGTTCCCCATGGTCCCTGTGTGTGTTGTAAAGTATCCACTGCTCCAAACTCACTCCTGTGATGGACTACAAATTGATTGTAAGGGGTTAATTTTTTTAATAATAGTATAAAAATATTTTTAAATATATATACCGTATTTTTCGTTGCACTTGGTAATCGCATTATGTACTGTATGTTTAAAACAATCCCACTTCTCGTCAGTGTTCAGTGTGAGAAATAAGCTGCCCCATTTGGTGTTGCATACTAGCTGATGCAGCTTGTCAAAGTTTGCCTTTCTGAAGTTTAGTGTTCTTGTCTGACCCACACACTTCTCTTTTCTGTACCCAATATTAAAAGTAATCACATTGTGATCACTATTACCCAGTGTCTCCCTAATCGCTATGTCTGCAACTAACTCCGCATTATTGGAAATTATTAAATCAAGTATTGCATTTTTCCTAGTTGGAACCTCAACCATTAGATCCATAAAATTGTCCCGCAGCAGGTTGAGAAACCGGCCCGCCTTTATCAAATGAGAGGTTCCATTAGACCAATTAATGTCCAGATAATTAAAGGAAGTTAATGTGTTAACTATCTGCAGTTTCTATTTAAGAAAAAAAAAATCTTACGCTTGCAGGGTTGTTTTAACTGACATAGTGTCTTTGATCTGCACATAAAGGCGCTAGTCTAAATATTTAGAGTTATAAATACTTTGTAACCATATAATTGTTACACATACTTTAATTTATTCAGGAGCCTGTAACACAGACCAATACCCAGCCCATCCTGGGGGAGTGCAGTTTAGGATCTACCTGGTATGGCCAATATCCACAACTGGATAAGGCGAGAGAAACTAGCATAGTCATTTTGACTCTACGTAAGCATTTAGCCCAGTGCTTGATTTAAGAATATATATCCAACAACTGCTAATCAGTGGTGTAGCATAGCAGATTTTCTGAAGAAAATGAACAAGAGCAGGGATAAATCATTGATATGCTTAGAGTGTGGGCACACAGACATGTGTAGATGTCCACACACATAGTGATCACAATCCCTAAACCCATCTAGCTAATTGTATACTGACATTTATTACATATGGCGCAGTCCTAAGTTGCCATGCATTTTGGATATCCAAATAAGACTGCTTTTTGCCTTCTGTTGCTGTAACATGCATTAAGAAATGCACAGGACAACACTATTTTAAACACAAGTATGTAGAATCTCTATTGCTCTCTGATGCCTGAATTCCTGTGCATGTGCCCCAAGATGTGGGCAGTGAGGTACCACATACATACTGTTATTTGAAGCTTTTTAGATATTTAGTTTCCTTTAATGAAAGCCATACACACAATATGCAATTTTATTCATACATGGTATGCTTACTTTAAAATGCTTTCAGCAGTTGCATAAACCCCAAATCATTTAGCTGGCATGCACTGGGATTCTGGAGCATATATTCAATAGCACCAACTGCTTGTACATGCACAATCCATGTGCCAGCATACTTTAATGTCTTTTGTAAATCATCCTAAATGTGTAGCTTGACCAAAACTGATTAATACAACCAGCTGTGTAAAGAGAATAAAAGTCAAGGTCACCATAGAAATGCTGGTTTAAACTTTATTGCTAGGTTTACATCTGCGTGCTGTAGTAACACACACAAGTTTTTCTTGCGTTAAGGCAGCCCATTCATTTGAATGGACTGCTTACTGCACCAAATCACACCAAAACAGTATTATTTTTCTTTTTCTTAATGCACCACTTTACAACACTTGACAGTGCATTGCCAGGCATTGTGGTGCACTGCAACACACGTGTGTTTGCAAGCTGTGTTTTGGGTACCTTTAGGAACGAATGGCACTATCCAAGCTCTTCTGCAGAAGCATGAACAACCTGTCGAAGACTGACAACACAGATGGAGTTGGACAAAGAAAAAACTAAAATAAATTTGACCTGCACTATTATATTCCCTTTTAACCTAATACTGGTGAGTGCTAATAGCAAAGGTAAAAATACAGAAAACTTTGCTGCTCTGTGTTCTCTCCAAACTAACTAACTTG